CCTATAGTTCTCTTTTTTGGATGTGTCCTTGTCTGGTTTTGGGATGAGTATAATACTAGATTCATAAAATGAGTTAGGCAGTGTTCTTCCCTTTCTATTTCATAAAAAAGTTTAAGGAGTGTTCGTATTAGTTTTTCTTTAAAGGTCTGGTAGAATTCAGTGGAGAATCCATCAGATCCTGGACTTTTCTTTTTGGGGAAACACTTTATTGCTGCTTCAATTTCATTGCATGTTATAAATATGTTTAGGTGGTTAATAAACTCTAGGTTCAGTTTTGCATGGTCTTATGTATCTAGAATTGTGTCCATTTCTTCAAGATTTTCCAATTTATTTGAATATAGGTTCTCCAAGTAGTCCCTGATTATTCCCTGGATTTCATTGGTGTTTGTTGTTATCTCCCCTTTTGCATTTTTGATTTTATTAATTTGGGTGTTTCCCTCCTCATTTTAGTCAGGTTTACCAGGGGTTTGTCAATCTTGTTTCTCTTTTCAAAGAGCCAACTTTTTGTTTCATTGATGCTTTGTGTATATATATATACAACAAAGTAGAGACTATATATGTATAGTCTCTACTTTGTTGATTTGGCCCTTATTCTTAGTATTTCTCTCCTTCTGCTTGTTTTGGGTTTAGCTTATTCTTTTTTCTCTATGACTTTGAGATGTAGTATTAGGTTGTTTATTTGAGATCTTTCTGTGTTTTTAATATATGCACTCATGGCTATAAACGTTCCTCTTAGGACTGTCTTTGCTGTATCCCATAGGTTCTGATAGGTTGTGTTTTCATTTTAATCAAATTCCAGTAACTTTTTTATTTCCTCCCTTATTTCTTCTATGACCCACTGATTGTTGAGCCTCCAATTGTTTATTTTCTACTGCTGCTTTTGTCATTGAGTTCTAGTTTTATTGCATTGTAATTAGATGCAATTGTATGCAATTGTATGCAAGGGTTATTTGCATTTTCTTATATTTGTTTAGACTTGCTTTGTACCCTGAAAAATGGTCTATTTTGGAGAAAGTTCCATGGGCTGCTGCTGAGAAGAATGTATATTGTGCTGTTGCAGGATGGAATATTTTGTATACATCTGTCAATTCCATTACATCTATAGTGTCATTTAGTTCTAGGATTTCTTTGTTGATTTTTTTTTGTCTGGATGACTTACTATTGTAGATAGAGGGGTATTAAAGTCCCCCATTACCACTGTCATTGTGTTGGGGTCTATATGTGGTTTTAAGTCCTTTAGTGCATGTTTATTGAAGTTGGGTGCACTGACATTGGGTGCTGTGTATAAGTTGATAATTGTTGTTTCCTCTTGATGTATTGCTCCTTTTATTAGTATGAAGTGGCCTTCTTTACCTCTTTTGGCAAATTTATGTTTGAAATCCACTTTATCTGATACAAGTATTGCTACTCTTGCCTGTTTTCGGAGGCCATTAGCTTGGTAAATTGTCTTCCAGCCTTTCACCCTAAGCCAGTGGTTGTTTCTGTCAATAAGATGGGTCTCTTGTACACAACAGATTTTTGGGTATTCCTTTTTAACCCACTTGCCAAATGATGTCTTTTGATGGGGGAGTTGAGTCCATTAATCTTCAATGTTAGTATTTAGAGGTATGTGGTGATTCCTGCCATTTACTTGTTTTTATTGTTTAAGGATTTGAGTATGTGCAACTGATTCAGTGCTACTCTCTGAGTACTTCTCTGTTCTTATGAGGTTTGATACTTCCCATCCTTTCATGATTATGTTTGTTTTCATCTTCTGTGTGTATGATTCCTTTCAGAATCTTCTGTTTATCATGGAAGAATTTTATTCCACCATCAATTTCAAATTATAGTTTTGCTGGTAGAATATCCTAAGACAGAAATTGTTTCATTTTAGTGCTTGAAATACCTCATTCCATGCCCTTTTTGCATTTAAGGTTTCTTTTGAGATGTCTGATGCTATTTTGGTGGGTTTACCTTTATATGTTATTTGTTTTTTCTGTTATTACAACCTTCAATATTCTTTCTTTGTTCTCTGTGCTAGTTGTTTTAATGATAATATGCTGTGGAGAGGTTCTGTTTTTGTCAAGTCTGTTTGGTGTTCTGGAAGTTTCCTGTACCTGAATGGACAACTCTTTCTCAAGATTTGGGAAGTTTTCTACTAATTTTTTATTGAATATATTACATATCCCTTTGGCTTGCACCTGTTCTACTTCTTTGATTCCCATGATTCGCAGGTTTGGTCTTTTGATGGAGTCACTGATTCTTGCATATTCCTTTCATAGCTTTTGAGTCTTTTGTCTAAGAGTTCTTCTGTTTTTTTCTTTAATATCTATTTGTCCTCAACCCCTGAGATTCTGTCTTTCAGTTGTTCTAGTCTGCTGGAGTGACTGTCCTCTGTATTTTTTATTTCATTTAAGGAACTTTTTATTTCCAGGGTTTTGGTTTGATTCTTTTTTTCTGAGGTAATCCATACCTTTGGTAAATTATTCTTTCATATCTTGTGTTGTCTTCTTTATTCCATGTATCTCTTTTTTTATAGTCTCCTTTGTTTCACTTTGGAATTTGTTGAAGTCTTCTCTGAGTTCATTTAATTGTTTCTATGTCTTCTCAAGTTTTTTATTTGTGGTATCTTGATATTGTTTGAGTTCATCTTGTACTTTCTGTTTAACCATGTCTTGTAGCTTCTCCATGACTATCTCAATGATGTCATTCAGAATTTCCTCTTTGAGAGTTTTTTTATGAACATCATTTGCCTCATTGGTCATAATTAGCATCATTTGTTGGGGTCAGGAACTGGGTATTCATTTTCTTCCTTTCCCAGTAAATCTTCTGTTGAATTTTTGGTCTTTTGGGGGATAGAATTTTCTGGCCTTCTTCTCCCCATGCTTGTATGATGTGCTGTGCTCCTATGTTGTTGAGTGGCTATTTGGGGATTTTAATCACCTGTTATCATTCCCTTGACCCAATAACTGTGCTGTGACTGGCTTAGCCATTAGCTAGGTTGATGTGCTATCTCTGTTTCCTGACTAGGAGATATAAATTAGCAACAACAAATTCATTGATTCAATGCCAGACTAGTTATTTACAAAATATTTAGGGAGTCTCTTGGTGATATCTATAAACTGTGAAGACTGGGGGTATAACAGTTGTTTGGAGGTGCACTTTAAAAAGTTAGTTTGAGACTCAGTCAGTATTATGTGCCCCTGTGCCAGGGGTGTTGGTGGCATCTTGATTGGCAGAAAAAGAAGAATTACCCAATCCTTGCTGCTACAAAAATCTGGAATATTTGTTTGAAATCATGCAGGTCCATCAGCTAACTGCCATCTCAATTTCTTCCTCCTTAAATGACTTTAAATGGCTGTGATCTTCCACAGATGATTACTTACTCCACCGGGCCACAACTTTAGATCTAGGGCAAATACAGCAATGTTGTTAGACTTGGGTCACATGACAAGGGGAGAGCTCATATGGGAGGTATAGGGATAGGTAGAAAACCCAAAACATGAAAGTGTTTGATGTCCCCACTCCAGAGGAACTAATACAGAAACCTTAAAGCAACAGAGGTTAACATGAGAAGGGGATCAGGAATCAACATAAAGATCAGTTAGAGATGAATCAACATGGGTTGTAACACATGGGTACATGAAAGCAATGCTAGGAATCTCTCTGTATAGCTATCCTTAACTAGCAAAAATGCTTTGTCTTTCTTAATATGCTGTCTCTTCAACAAAATTAGAGATAAGGGCAGAACAGGTTCTGCCTGGAAGTGAGGGTGTTGGGGGGGAAAGAGTGGGGGCAGGGGGCAGAGGAGAGAAATGACCCGAACAATGTATGCACATGTGAATAAATGAATAATTAAAAAAAAAACAGACCACAATGATGGACATTCAGAATTTCCAGATTATCCCTGACCTCTCTTTGTAGGTACAGGCACTTATAGAAAGCTTGAGGCTGGGTGCACTCCAGTAACCATGTAGCCAACTACCCACATAGCAAGAGTGTGCCATCATCTGCTCATCTGCTACAGGGACCAGAATTACTTTTCTATGCATGTAAAAATCCAGAATTCAATATAAAATTAATTTTTGTTTGTTTGTCTTGTTTTCTGAACTTACTCTAAATTTGATGCAATAAGGATTAAGTTTTTTGAGTTATAGATAAAAAGACAAGAACTGAATACTAAGAATCAAAGGAAAAATATTATATTGGCATATTCAAGCTGAAGAAAGCCACTACCTTTAAATACTATGTGTCACTACCTTTCTAGGGATAAAAGCAAACATAGACAGAAGACCTGCCTCTATAGACCTTATATACTGGTGGAAATGAAATTGGAATGTTAGACCCCAGGCCAAACTCCAGGAGTTCAGCATGTCAGGTCCAGCCACCAAATAAAGAGATGATAATTATGATGGGCAGAAAAAGATTTATGTGGCAAGAGCAATCATGGGAACAGGCAAAGTAGGCATTTCAGCTCATCTTCTGTCATCTTCCGGATACAAACATGAGCTTTGGGTTTAAATAGAAAAAGAATTAGGATAGGGAAAAAGAGATAGGCATAGTTAAACTGTCCCAGTCACACTGTGGCCTGGCTGGTTATTATCTCAGTTATAGTTTGGAGTAGAAACTTCCAGAGAAGTTGTCACTGTTATCACTTGAGGGGAGCAATCCTCTGGTCAGGATAAGCAAGTCATGTTTGCCTGGTAGATTTTGGATAATTTTGAAGATGGAGCAGGCAGAATTAACCGACAGACTGAATGTAGGTTGTGGGAAGAACAAAGTAGACAGATTCAACTAAGTTGGATTGTCACTGTATAGCTAGCTTTATTTATTTTTTTTTTGGTAGTATACTGGGGTTTGAACTCAGGTCTTCATGCATGCAAAGTAGGTACTCTACTGCTTGAGCCACACCTCTCTTGAGTATTGTTTTAACTGAAGACTAGCACAATCATTTTTACTCAAATGTTTAAACTATATTTATGAAATTATACTTAAATGAAACTGTTTTTCTTTGCTTCTAGCCTTTCTTTCAGGCTTTGCTGTTCATTTTCATTCTAAGATGCATGGAACTAAAATATGGAAAGAAAGTAATACAAAAGGATCCTGTTTTCAGGTTGGGATAACATTTCAGTTCATGTTCATATTCAGTATTGTATTTCATATTTGTAGGTGGTGGCTGCACTATGAACTTCTTAGTATGGATTATATTAACAGCATGTGCAGCATGATCAGCATCGTGACCAGGGAATTTTTGATCTACTGCCAAGAAATAGAACTCTCTGAAAGAGTTCTCCCTTTAAGCAGTTAAGGGAAATGTGATGAGGGCCCAAACATGCCATTCTTCTATCTAAGATGTTGCGTGCCCTTGAACAGAAGAGTTGAGCTGGAATCGATTTAGCAGCAGAGTTCAGAGTATTTCACAAGTACAGGGGCTATGGAAAGAGTAAAAAACAAATAGATGCTGAACCAAATATCTGATGTGATTAAGATGGACTTTGAGTAAGCAGAGAAAATGTGAGTGACTTGAATTTTCAAGAGAAAGTAGTAGTAACTTGCTAATAAGCTTGGCAGGGTCAGAGATACTTGCTAGAACCACAACAGCAACACCAAGAAAGGGATTCTGGGCAGTGGTAGTGTTTTTGCAAAAGCAAAAGCAACGTTGACAGTCATAATCACCAGTCATCTGTGGAAAGAAAAGACAATGGTAAAATCACAGGGACACTGACTCTTAACATACTTTTGACAATCAGAAAACCACATGTAATACATTTCATTTTCTCCGCAGAATTTCCCCCCAATGTCAAAATGCTGGACCAAACCCAGAAAAACCTGTAGATGAAGATGAAGATGTTCAAGCAGAAAGAAAAAGAACATCAACTGCCCTGAGAATTTCTGACTTACAGGAGGTAAAAAAGCAAGGGATAAAACAGATGCTACTAGAAGTATCCAAGAATGATCCAGAATAGAATTTGACTTGCTGATTGTAATTTTGAAAGTTTGGAATTTGGTGCATTTCTAATCCTTAAATATGCAGACACTTCCTTGGAGTGTACTGGAAACTAAAAGAGCACAAAACATAATGGTATTATTCTTTTGACAAAAGTGAGTTTTGATAGTGAGAGCTAGAATTTTAAAACCAAACAAGACCACATGAGTTGAAGAATTTAAGTGAAATTTATTATAAAATGCTAAATGGAGGATAAGACTTTAAGGATTATTCTTTTCTTTTCTTTAATTTCTGTTTCCATGAGCTTATCCACTTTTGTTCTGGCAAGGCAATGATCCATGAAACTTTGCTGCTTTCTCAAGTTTATATAAATATGAACTTTGGGTTAAAAATTTAAGAGGGGAGTCATGTTCTTATCTCTTCCAGAAACCCATCATAATTGCCAATTGTCTACATAAAGAGTATGCAGGTCAGAAGAAAAGTTGCTTTTCAAAGAGGAAGAAGAAAATAGGAGCAAGAAATATTTCTTTCTGTGTTAAAAAAGGTTTGGAGTAATTTCTTTTTAAATGGACTGTTATTTTTAGGATACTTACTGAGTATCTACACTACAGGCATCATCTTATTTGCTAAAGACTTCATTCACTCATTCATCCAGCTATAGTTTTTGAAGGTACCAGGGAAAGATTTTAGATTCTGAAAAATACAATAATGAAAAAACTAGGCAAGCTCCTGCCCTCATGGATTTTGCATCCTAGGAGGGGTCTGGAAATAAAAATAGCTTGTCTAAAAGCAGATCCTATACTAATGTAAGTTCTATGTAGAACACGGAAATAGGTGAAATGACATGAGTTACTTGGAGCTGTGTCTGACTATGGTCATGGAAGGCCTCATTTGAGCAGTGACATGTAAGCCAAGATCCAGGTGACAAGAAGGTGGTAGCTATGTGGACACTAAGAGACAAGGACATCCAGGTGGGAGAAGTAGCAAGGACAGGAACTCAGACATACACATGTGGAGTGGTTGAGTCTCAAAGGAAAAGGCCAATGAGTGCATCTGTGAATGGAAGTGATGAAACAAAAAAGGCTAGATTAGGCACAGATTTTTTTTTTGGTGGTCCTTTAGGTTGAACTCAGTGCTTTGCTAGGCAGGTACTCTACAGCTTGAGCCACATTGCCAGCCTTTTGTGCTCTGGTTGTTTTGGACACATTGTTTCACTTGTTGCCCAGTGACCTGGACTATGATTCTTCTATTTTATGCTTTCTGCCATCACTGGGATAACAGGCACATGCACCAGACCCAGCTTTTTTCTCATGAGGTCTTTATTTTCCTGGGCTCGTCTGGAACCATGATCCTCTTGATCTCAGCCTCCCACATAGCTTGGGAGGCTACTGCACCCAGCTATTTGTTGAGATGGGGTCTTACTAACTTTTTCCCAGGCTGCCTCGAACCATAATTCTCCCAAACTCAGCCACCAGCACCAGGCTTTAGGTACATGATTTTCAAAAGAGCCAGATGTTTATATTTTATACTAAGGTACTGGAATGCCATTGGAAGGTTTGTAGCAGGTTTGTGGCATCCTCCTTTATATTTTGAAAAGAATGCTTACTGGCTACTGTTTGTTCATGAATTTGGAAAGGGGCCAGGTTATATGAGTTCAGATGAAAGGTTATCTTGATGTAGGTATGGGTGGTTGAATTTGGGGTGAAGAAAATAATTTCTTCCCAGGCTTAGAAATAGTTTACATATGTACTCAGTGTACTGGCAAATAAAAACAAGATATCAGAGGGAAAAACAGATGTCTTGACATAAAATTCATAATTACATGAATTAAAGAATATGTTTTGGTGGCATGGATTACAATATACATTATAAATTTTAAAATGACACTATGAGGGGGTACACAAGACTGCAGATTTCATTGAAGAAATAGGTTAATATAAATCAATATTTCACTTGCAATATTGACATTCTGATTCTTTGCTTCAGGTGAAATTTTGGGATTGCTAGGACCCAATGGTGCTGGTAAAAGTTCCTGTATTAGGATGATAGCTGGGATCACAAAACCAGCAGCAGGAGAGGTAATTAAAAGCAAACAAATGGTTTCTGTTCCCAAAACAGAAATCTCGTGAAAACTGTAGATTATATCTTTGTAAGATGATACTTTTTGGTCTTTGTATACATTTATTTCACTCTCTTTATTTTTTCTGGACATGTAAAAGTTTATAATAGGACTTCAAATATCACCAGAAGGCAAGTACCTTTTCTTCATAATAGCTTCTCAGGAACCACCTGAGCTAATAGGTCTTTTCCCCTTCACATAAGATTATAATTTTGTATTAGTAGATTATATTGTTTTATATAAGAAATATGAAGTGACAAGGTATTTATTGGCTATTCATCAGTCTCTTGATTATCGTGCAGTTGGAGGAAAGGCTGTTTGTATGTTTCTAAAACCCTTTACTTTTGTAGGTGGAACTGAAAGGTGACCAGGAAAATGGCACAGTCAAGTTCCTGGGATACTGTCCTCAGGAGAATGTGTTGTGGCCCATGCTGACAATGAAAGAACACCTGGAGGTGTATGCTGCTGTGAAAGGGCTGAGAAAAGGGGAGGCTGCCATTGTCATTTCATGGTACAGCAGTCAGATCCTACAGTTCCTTTATGTTAAGAAGCAGGGAGTTTGTATGATCCATGAAGAAGCCCTGTGAATGGGGAAGAGAGGCACTTCCACCTTTTCAGAGTGTTGGTGGTAGAGCAGAGACAAGACCTGATTTCTTGCATCCCTGAATGAGGGAGCTTAAAAAAAGTAATTGGAAAAAGTAGTTGACAAGGAATAAGTGAATGATTGATCACGAATAACCACCATCCATTTCAGCTTTCTAATAAAAAAAGTAGAAATGGAGTAACCATCTGTTTTCAATGTCTCATTTAGAATTTAGTTTTTCTTTAAAACTTTTTATGAGGTGAAAAATAGGTCATACTCCAAAATAGATTTTTTTCTTTTATCATAACTTAGAATTTTGAGAATAATACTGCCAATCTTCCCTTCAGTGCTGTTACAATTCTGTGTGTTTGCATTTTCCTGATATCCTCACCTTGTTTTCCCTCAGGTTAGTGAATGCTTTCAAACTGCATGAGCAGCTGAATGTTCCATTGCAGAGTTTGGCTGCAGGAACCACTAGAAAGGTATATGCCGTATGTTGTGCTCTTCTGCAGGCTGAGGTAGTATCAAAGTACATGGACATTTCTGTGTTTTGCAGCTGTGTTTTGTGCTGGGTATCCTGGGAAATTCACCTGTCCTGCTTCTGGATGAGCCATCTACAGGCGTAGATCCAACAGGGCAGCAGCAAATGTGGTGAGCATTACTATGGTCCTGACAGCCATGGTATGAACGCCATGTAAAGTTGCACTCCTCCTCAAGTCACTGGTTCCTGGTGCAGTGAATGTTGTGTTAGTCTGCTGCTATAGTTTGAGTATTGAATGTCCCACAAAAGCCCGGTGTTGAAGGCTTGGTCTCCAACCTGTGATGCTATTGACAGGTGGTAAAACCTTTAGGAAGAAGGGCTTAAAATAAGGAAGTTATGTTATATAGAGACATGTCCTTGAAGGAGGTATTGGGACTCTGGCCCCTCCTTTTTTTTCCTCTTGTTTCCTGGCCACCATGAGGTAAGCAGCTTTGCCTCAACATACACTCCCATCATGGTGTTCTGGCTTGTCACAGGTTCAAAGTGATGGAATCAACCAACTGTGGGCTTAAGCCTCTGAAATCATGAGCCCAAATAAACTTTTCCACCTTTTAAGTTCTCTCAAGTATTTTGTCACAGAAACAGAGCATTGATGTGTTAGTTATTACATCTGCCACTGCTGTAACAAACACCTGAAATAATCAACCTGTGAAGAGAAAGGTTTGTTTTGGCTCACAGTTTGGCATTTCCAGTCCATGGTCAGTTGAACCTACTTGCTTTGGGCCTTGTTGAGGCAACACATCATGGCAGAGCAAAACTGGTCATTTCACAAGCCAGGGGCAAGGAGAGCAAGGAGGGAGCCAATGTTCCACAATCTCCTTCAAGATTATACCCCTAATGACAAAAAGACATCCCACTAGGTCCCTCCTCTTAAGGGTTCCACCATGGGCCTTTAAGGAACATTCAAGATCCAAACGGTAGCAGAGATTATTCATATTAAATAAACATTTAACAAGTAAATGATCCAGCCTGCTTTATATTACTGCAATAATTAGATTTTTTAAAATGTATTTAATGTATTTAAAAATACATTAGTATTTTGTTGGAGTTTTAGATATTTTAATTTGGAATGTATCTTATATTTGCCTTTATTTATTGAAATGTTTTAACTGTTTTCATTTCCTATTCTACTTGGTTTTCCTAAAGATGTTAACTTACTGACATAATTTCTCCATTTATCTTTTCCACTTTTACTAAATTCGTCAAATGTATTTATCAAATTTTATAGTATTTTTCTTTCTGTTTTCTTATCTGCAAATTACTCTTTGGATTAATAAAATCTCCAATCTAGTTTCATATTTGTGACTATTCAATATTTTTCCAACTTACAAAACTCTTTGCTGTGGGAATTTTATGTAAATTTAGAAAGAATCATTTATGAATTCATTATACCTATCATTTAGTTTTAGCAATTATCACTAGAAGTCACCTTATTTCATCTGAATCTCCACCCACTTCCTTTCCCATCCTCTAATTATTTTGAAAGAAATGTATTTCTGTTAGTATCATCAAAATATAAAGAGACTTTAAAAAAACTTAGCTACAATATCATTTGCACATCTAAACTATTAAACTGTTTTCCGTATAGTATCAAATATTAGTCAATGCTGATGTTTTCCTGGCATTTTAAAATTAGGGTTTATGTATGATTAATAAACTACATTTTATCTGTGAATTTTTTCCCAATTTCTCTTTATTGTGTTCTGTACTTTTTTGTTTTAAATGCTATTAATTTCTCAACTGATTTCAGGCAGATCATCCAGGCAGCAGTTAAAAACACAGAGAGGGGAGTTGTCCTGACTACCCACAACCTGGCTGAGGCTGAGGCTCTGTGTGACCGTGTGGCCATCATGGTGTCTGGAAGGCTGAGGTGAGTGTCTCTTCAGAGCCTGCAGTTGACACCCAAATGAGTTTCCCTGTGGAAAGGGTAAATCACTGTGAGCAACTAGAGCCTTTTCTTTTGGCTTTGTCACTGATACCCGTTCTACTACCTTTGAAATTTAAGAATAACATAAAAAATTAAGAACAATATTATTTCCAGCATGTTATCCTTCTTGCTCTTAGATGCATTGGCTCTATTGAACACCTGAAAAGAAAATTTGGCAAAGAGTACATCCTAGAAGTAAAAGTGAAGGAGCCTTCTGAAGTGCCATTAGTCCACACAGAGATTCTGAAGCTTTTTCCACAGGCTGCACAACAGGAAAGGTGAAAAGAGCTTTTGATTACAGCAAGAGATTATGCTTTGCTGACTCTGGCTTCCTCATTGCTCTATGATGATTTGACTTCATACCAAGAGTTAGCAACTTCAAAAAGTGATTTGTTGATTCCTCCAGATTACAAGAGATTAGAGAACTACCCAGGAAGCTGTGTCTCTACCCCACTCTGATGGGAAACAAATAGCAATCAAGATAGAGTCTCCCTTTAATAGGATTTTCATACTTCAGATTGGAGAATGCAAATGAATGTGTGTATGTATGTATGTGTGTGTGCACACATGCATGCATATATGTCTATGTCTATTTATATGTGTCTGTGCATTATTGGCAAAAGGGAAAGGAGGTAGAGCAGGAAGTAATTCAAAATTTCTTAGAGGGATAAGATATCAAAAAAACAAGGCATAAAAACTACTATTTTCATTTTAGCACATTGTGAGTGTAATAGATTGTCAAAGGCTTGGACAAGGCATGAACTCCATCCTGGTCTAAAGAAAGTCCTTGAAGTCTGGCTGGCCTTGGGGCCACCTGGGAGCACCAAACTTATTTAGGGATAAGCTGAAAATAGGGCATGATGTTGTATGGCCAGAACTAGTACAGGGAAACAAGGTGCCCCAAATCGGTCTTCAAGTCTTCTGTGTCCTTCCTCTATAGTTATGTCCTCCCTCCCAACCTCATATTTTTCTTTGTAATTTAGCTTTCTGATGACATGGCCCAACTTTCATTTGAAGCTAGTTTCCAACCTAATTTGAACTAATGAAATAGAATAGTGTAAAATAACTGTTTACAGAAAGTAAGCAGTTTGCATAAACTGAGCATGTAAGTTCTTAGGCAATATCATTACTAGAATCATCTACAACAGTCAGTTACCAAAAAGTATTTAAAATTTTCCCATTGTAAATGATTTAATTTCATATTTAAGTAATATCTTAGTTTGTATCAGTTTTATTTTAAAAAGGAAATTGTTGATATCATATTTATTTTGGTGCTCATCTTCTTCCTTCAGAATGCTGTGTTGAATATGACATCTTCCTATTCCTAGGTCCTCCTCCTTTTTGATCTATAAGCTGCCCACAGAAGATGTTTATCCTCTATCTAAGGCCTTTCACAAATTAGAAGCAGGTAAGAATGGCCTTATTTAAAGAAAACTTTTGAAGGATTAGTTCATACTTGCATAATAATTTAATGGGAGATGATTGTGTAGTATATTTTTAAAATAGGCCTTGCAGGGCATAATTTTTTAAAGAATAGATAATGATGGTTAATTCAATCCTCTGGAAAAAAGAGACTCATGTCCAGCTTGGCTTTGCTGACGGTGAGTATATGACTTAACCTCAGAAAGCCTCCCCCCACCCAATGTGGCCAGCTTTGCCTATGTGTGCGCAATCCATTCACACCAAGTATCCTGAATTATTACTTCATTCATTCTCTTTCCTTACATACCCACTTCCATCAGCTCATGTCCCTGGTTTATATTTCACTAATAAAATAAAAGCAACAGAGAGAACTTCCATTTACCCATCACCCTCCCTGTGCCTGTGATGGTGTGTTTGGCCTTCCTATATCTTTGAATTATAACTAATGCTATTATCCCCTGATTGTGCATAACTCCTCTTACTGCTTGAAATTATCCATTCTCTCTTCCATCATCATTGATCTGCTTTCAACTGGATTGTTCCCCAAAGTAGATCATCATTGTGTAATTTCTCAGCACAGTGAAGTGGCAAAAAACAGAGCATCTTACTGGGTTCTCATCCCAGCACTGCCATCTATTAGGTGGGAAATGTGGGACAAAATTACCTATTCCCTCCTTGTCTACATGGGTCATCCATCTCTGCAATGAAGGATAATATGAGTGCCTTTTTGGCAGCATTGTTGGAAGGATTAAAGGAGTTAATTTATTAAATGTCTAGAATAGTGCCTGACCTATCTTTCTTGAACAATTGTATAAATCTCTGCTTTTCTCCTTCCACTCTAGATATCTATCTTCCTGACTCTTCCTTAATGGTGCCAAATGCCCCTGTCTCAGGACTTTGTATTTGATAATCCTTCTTTCTTGAATTTTCTTTCCTAGATACTCAGGCTGCTTATTCATTATTTTAAGTTTCTGCTCAGTGATCACCTTATTATCATGGCCTTTCCTGAGTACCCTATAAAAAAAGATACTCATTCTTTTTATCTGCTTTATTTTTCTTCACAGCTGTATTGGCATTTATCTTATATATTAAAGTGCTTATGAATTTAATGCCCATATCTCTCCCACTGAAATGAAAATATAAAGGCTATTGCCTGTTTACTGTTCTAATCCTGTTATCTGAGACTGCCTCCCACAAAGGAGTTTCTGAGGTATATAGGATAAACCATGAACATGTGATATGGAACCTAATGACAACTCATGTAAATGTCCTAGCAGGGAAGCCCATCAGAGACATGGTGTGACAGTTGAATCTGCTGAAGGGTGTACTGGGTCCTTTTGAAGACTATGAGATGGGATTGAACTTGTCCTCATATGTAAGAATATTGAATTCAATGATATGGTTCCTCAAAGAACATATAAATTTCCCCAAGATTTGTACATTAAATAACACAATACATATTAGCAAAACATAATGAGGAAACCCTAATATCAAGATGGATTTAGAATGTATTTATGTTAACTGTTTTATCCTTCTGTCCAGTATTTGCTAGTTCAATTTGTCTTCAATTTATATTAATAATTTGCGTTTTTACTTTATATGATTGAAAAGTTCCTGGTAATAAAGTGTAAGCATTTATTCCAAGTCTTTTTTTCTCTAGTGAAACACAACTTTAACCTGGAACAATATAACCTCTCTCACTGCACACTGGAAAAAGTGAGTCAATCTGTTTGACTTTGTATCATCCGTGTAGATTTTACTTGAAAGTAAAATGCACCTTTCCTTTTCATTTGAAGACAATCAGCAATCTGGTATTTCCTTTTCTCTCTCATTTGTCTCCTAATTAGGTATTCTTAGAGCTTTCTAAGGAGCAAGAGCTGGAAAATGTTGATGATGAAGTTGATACGACCATAAGATGGAAACTCCTTCCTCATTCAGATGAACCTTAAAACCTCAGACTGAATAATTCTTTGTTCATGTCCCAGAAACTTATATTGATGTAACATTACTTTGTATAATTTAAAAGATCATTAAATATCACCATCACATATATTTTGTATATTTAGTCAATAAATGGATAAATTTTGAAATTACTCACACTTCAGGGTTTTAGAAATCTCATAAAGGCAACACAAAATACAAGTAAAGTCACTCAAAGATCCAGGCAGTGGATATTGTAGAAACAACACTATAAACTTAGAAGTCTTAAAAATACTATTGTTATACCATTTACTGAAATATTCTCTTGCTGAAATAGTTGAGGAGTATATTCAACAGCCGGAAGCCATCTGGCTACTTCCTGCCGATTTACAATGTATCAAATGTATGGATTTTCTTTTCTATGAAAGTACAACCCAAGGCTCTCCCTAAAACCTTCCAGAAATTACTTTGACACCCACAAGGATTAGGGGGCCCATGGACTCACAAATGAACAAGCATACTCATTAGAAAAGCAGTTCAATATACCTTTTGAAGACATGGGGAATCACAGTAATATTTGTTAAACTTTAAAAATTTTTGAATACTAGTATTTAATTCCTATGATTTTCCTCATCTCCTCATCAATGCTTGTCTGTGTATTTGTTACTGTTTTAAGTTCATTTCCCCCTTATATGTGTGTATATACATATATGTATAGTAGAGACATGTCTTTGTATGTCAACTTTACCTATTATTTTAGTTTTTCCCTTAAAAATTAACTTTTCATTCAGTATATCACCAGAAAACTTTTTGAAGACCAAGAAGAATTTCTGCTTCACTTTTTTGGTGATGTGTTATATACCTTAAAATACTTTTTATGTTCACTAAAGAATATTTGTATAATGGAAAAAATATAGAAATTAAATAATATTGAATAAAATAATCACTATAATTCTGCCATTCAAAAATTTAACTATTTAGTTCTTTCTTTGATACATTTTTACATAACTGCAACCATATAGTATACATAGTTTCCAAAGTGGAAATACATATTTACTTCAGTTATTTCAGTTTACTCTCAGATTCATGGTGAGGTTGCAGCTTTACATGTTTACTTTTTTTTTGTATATTTAGTTTTGTGCTTGAATCTCTTTCTTACCACTTTTGTAAGCTTTTCCTGTAATTAAATATTTTAACTGCACAATTTAGATATACAGATTTAATACTCATGGTCTGAAAATCTGAAATCTGAGATTCTAAGAAACAACTTATATCATAATTATAGCTGAAGAGTTTTCAAAATATATAATAAATCCTCTATAGTTTACCATCTATTCAGTTACTGCCTTTTCAGAGTAAATTAGTATAATAATGAGAGTTGAATTTGTTTAATTTCTGATACTCAAGCAATAAATTCTCCTATCTTGCTCAAATTTATAGCATCACAACATAACCATTTCATGTAACAATATGAATTTCACTTGCATTCTTTATCAATTATAGTTTTTAAACAGATATAGAAATGTTTATGACAAAGCCAGACACCACTGGCTCATGCCTATAATCCTAACTACTTGTGAGGCTGAGATTGGGAGGATCATGGTTCAAAGCCAGCCTGGGCAAATAGTTCTCAAGACCCCCATCTCCAAAATAACCAGAGATGGGAATGCAAAGTAGTACAACAACTATGGAAAACAGTATGGAAGTTCCTTAAAAACTAAAAATAGACCTGCCATATGATCCAGCAATACCACTCCTAGGGATATACCCAAAAGATTGTGAGTCAGCATACAACAATGGCACCTGTATACCCATGTTTATTTCAGCACTATTCATAGTAGCTAAGCTATGAAAACAGCCAAGATACCCCTCTACTGATGAATGGGTTAAGAAAATGTGGTATTTATATACGATGGAATTTTACTCGGCCACAAAGACGAGTGCAGTTTTGTCATTCGTAGGTAAATGGATAGAACTAGAGAACATTATCTTAAGTTAAGTTAGCCAGGCTCAGAAGGCCAAAAGCTGCACGTTATCTCTCATATGTGGACTATAGACCTAAAACAAATACAGCAATATTATGAAACACTGGTCACACTAAGGGGAGTTCATGCACGGGAGGGACAATGAAACTAAGAAACATGAATATGGTTAATGTACTTTCTATACAAGAATGAATATAGAAATCTTAAACCAGCTGAAACTACCATAAGAAAGGTATTAAGGGAGAATGAAGAAAATTAGAGGAGATAAACCAGTTGGGATTGTAATACATATATACAGGGAAATATCACAAGGAAACTCCCTGTGTAGCTACCTACGCAAGCTAAAATGTTGTAGCATTTGTTTTATTTTTTCCTCTTTTGTCTTCTACAAAATCAGAAAACAGGAGAGCAGAACAGGTCCTTCCCGGGGGAGGGCTGACACCAGTGGGAGGGGGAAGGTGTTGAGGTGAATATGGTACAAAAAATGTGTACATATGTAAGTAAATGCAAAAGTGATACCTGTTGAAACTTCTCCAGGAATCCGGAGTTGGGGGGGAAGATGAAGGAGAATGATTGAGGTGAATTCATGTATGATATATTTGATACATTGTAAGCACCTGTGTAAATGCCATAATGTACCCCCACCCACCACAACAATAAAGGAAAAAAATAACCAGAGTAAAATGGGCTGGGGGTGTGGCTCAAGCAGTAGAGTACCTGCTTTGTAAGCATGAAGCCCTGAGTTCAAACCTCCAGCTCCACCAAAAAGAAATGTTTACAACATACTGAATAATGTCAGGTGTAGTATGAATATCTTAAAAATATTAAACTGAACACAGTTTGCTAAAACTGTCACAATATGGTAGTTTTTGAGGCTATTAACGTGTTTTTTTTTAAATTAGAATTGTGTGTAAAGGCAGATGGATGAGTATGAAAAGACACTAAAGCAAAAAAAGGTATAAAAATGGCAAAAAAAGAAAGTCATGCTATCTCCAACTCTAGTGGAAACAGCTCTTATGCTGGCTTCATCTTTTGTTTCCTTAATGTACCTTCTAAAAGGGGCTGGTGCCCACTGTGTAGAGAACCATCAATTCTCTTCCTTGATGGACTGACTTCCAATTGAGTTTGACTATTCTTATAGGAAAGAATCCCAAGAGATGGAGGGTGGAAGAAGGGGTCAGAGTATTTCTCTGCTCCCCATCCCCTACTTTGGTGCCATTTCTTGAGAAGCAGATCAATTCTTCCAGAATTATGCCTTTTACTATCCTCTACTTACACCAAAAAACAGCTGCCTAATTGTTTATTCTTAGCAATTTATGGCTTTAGTGACTTCTTCTCCAGCTAAGCTGGTGCTGGCTGTGATTCTCTGTATGTACTTTATTTCCATGGATTTCAGGGTTGTGGTTTGCCCTGAATATCAGTCTCTATGGGTCTAAGAAACTTCTTTCTTTTTCTTGTAAGGAAAGAAATGATGACTTCCAAATTGTTTATATGATGAAGATGAAAGAATTGAATTTTAAACATCATGGCTTTTTAATTAATTAAAAATTAAATTTAAATCCCCACCTGGGGCTAGTGTCTACCATATTGGATAGTGCATTTCTAAAGTTGGTACCTTAGCCCTCATCTTGGACTATAAAATTTCTAGGGAACTTAGCTTTGTTTGTGCTTCTCGTCCCATATAGCTACTTTGTGATGTGTTAGTTCCCCATTGTCTTTACCACACCCTCACAAAAATTTGTCATTATCATCATCATTTTGTGTATAGATGTTTACTTAATTTATAAATATACTTATTAGTTTCCACCATGCAACTACTTCCTTCTTGGTTTGCTTTCCTACTTCAACGATAGCAACTATTTGTTCCTTTGTAGATATCAAAAGAAGAGAAAGCTCAAGATTTTTTTGCATGTGCCTATTTTATCCTTATACAACTAATTATATTTAATTATATTTTGCTGGCCTATTAATCAGCCTTTGTCAAACCACTTCAAAATTTACTGACTTAAAACAGTAGTCTTCTTTCAGCTTTGTTTTCTTGTTTTATTTCTGGCATCTGCATATTTATTTTTTCTTTGAATTTGATTTCTGTTTTTGTTATATCTTATTTATCCATTTATTTGTGTTTTTGTTGAAAAAATACTCATATCAGTGTTGTTTGAAACTTCATGAAAATCTTGAAAATAAGATAATAACAATAAAATAGCTGTTATTTTGGTAAAAATTATAAATTGCAAAGTGATTGGTACTATACTTCAACTTCTGAAACTTATATACACTAGAAAACTTGCAAAGATACTTGTAGAGTGATTTCAGAAGTGTAATGACTGTGTATTCCAAACAATATTTTAGATAACTGAATACATTTGTTTGACGTTTCCACTGAATGTTTACAATAAGGCTGAGCATAAATAATTTCTCTGAAGGAAAAAAAAACCTTACACAAAATCTAACATGTATTGATCCAGTTAAACATCTGAAAAAATATGTGACAGAAAGTATTAATGGACAAAAATGTTGTGGCATGAAGCCTGGATTTCCTGGTATATGAAAGGGAAAGAGCTGAGATTTTCCTATGTTTCTGTTTATGCATTCTGTGCAGGGATTGGCATCTTCTATAATAAATATCACTTTTTACATGTGGACTCCAGCAAAAGCTGAGAAGAAATTCAATGGCAGCAATATTTCTTTCAAACCAGTAAGTTATGGGCAGCTTCTATAACTCTTAGCTGTAATTTGTAATGACATGTTCTAGGAGCCTCAGGCTTGATAGATAGATAGGCTGTGTAGACCCAATGACTTTCTTTTATAAATTCAAAGCTGTTGAATGTAAGTAAGAACTTATATTTATGCACCAAGCACATTACCATTAGTACAAATAATGAAACACCAAAAGCATGAAACTCTAATTCACGTGCTTTTTTTTGCATTTCTGTTTGTGTTGAAATTGGTATATTCAGTTTAATTCAGCATGTTCAATAACTATGATTTTATCCTTTGCTCATTTTAAGCGTTTTTCTTGTCAAGTATTTAAACCTTTCATTGTTTTAAGTTTCAGTAGCTACTGATGCCTTTCTTGATCCACTAATGTATTCAATCAGTAATAAATGATTTTTTAAAATGTGTTGTTTTGAGCTATCAATTCAGAGACAAATTTCACAAATTTTCCTTCTGCTTTAATTGGTGCTACCTATATCAGCAGGACTTTTGGCAGGATTTGAGAGATCCTAGCTTGACTAAGGTAATCTTTCATTCTCCTCCAGGCTTATTTCTAGCGTATTAACATGCTCCTCAATTGGTAGCTCACCTGTTGTTGGACTACTCTTAAAATTTGCACCATAGCTGGGCATAGGTGGCTGACTTCTGTAATCTTAATTACTCAGGAGGCGGAGATCAGGAGGATCGAGTTTCAAAGCCAGTCCAGGGAAATAGTTTGTGAGACCCTATCTCACAAAAGCCTAACACAAAACAGAGCTTGTGGAGTGGCTCAAATGGTAAGGACACCTGCCTACTAAGTGTGAGGCACTGAGTTCAAACACCAGTGCTGTGAAAAAAAAAATTGCACCATATTTCTCACACACACAAAATACTCTTAACTGTGAAATCTTTACTTCATATTGCCATATTTAAACATTGTCTCAGCTTTATTTCTTGTGATGGAACAAAACTGTTCTTTCTCCTTTTCAAGGCTACACT